ATTATTGTTCATTGTGTCATTAGGCAGGATACAGAGTTAGCAACATTATGCAGTTTTTTTCTCAGTTACACACTATAGTTGCAGTGTACAATGTTAGGAGCTTTGTATAGCTCTAAAGAAAATCCACTGTTTAAAGTTACTATTATGTGGGCAGGTTCAGGCAGCAGAGTTTGGTGAAACATTGTGGTTGTTTAACAAGAGAATTTTTTTATTCCCATGAGCTATGTGCCTGAGATGAAAATTGAGAATGATAAGACTCTACCACAGAGACTCCTCATGCAGGTCATTGATACAACAGCTAGGCATTCTGTGTCTTTGCACAGAAACTTCCTAGCCACCAAGCATGCCAAAGTCATGAAGCCATCAGAGACCCAATCCTGTAAGGAATAAATAATAAAGAGGAGACAGAGTCAAAGTGCAGAAGCAGGGAAGGTGGCAGAGTGGCTCTTTGTCCAAGTAGCCACATTTATTTATACCAATAGGTTACATCAGGTCATTAGTACCATAACCACATTATTGTTTAGAGTATCAGTAAGGTTGCTTATTCTGCAGTTACATTTCACAATTACAATAAGCAATGTTAGGAGCTTTGTGCAGTTTTCAAGAAAAGCCACTGTCTGAATGTTAGGTGGGCAGCTCCAAGGGCACAGAAGCTTGATGAAACATTGTAGTTATCTAGCAAACAAGTTTTTCTATTCCCAGGAGTATGTGCCTGCAATCAAGGTTGAGGCTTGATGAGCTCTAACACAGAGGTCTCAGGGCATTGCCATACCAGCTGGACATAGCACATATATTAGCTATATTATTAGATCTTTAGAAAAATTATAGGGCATTCTAAGGATGGGTTATAGAGTGGGAAACAGAGTGCCTGTTACCTCCCTTTCCCCGTGTGTTTTCTCACCATGAGAATGCTTCCCTTTACATTTTCAAGGCCAGAATCCCTATACAATGCCAAACACAGAGCTGTTACATTAAACAGCAATAATTTTTTATTTCACTATTAAGTGATTACTTAAGAGATTCTTTTTGTCTACTCTTTTATTAGCAGTACTATTGTATCTGATCTCATTGAACATTTGAAATCCAAACACAGGTCCACCAAGGAGCAAGTTTGGGGATATCTAAATTTTCCCTAAGTAACCTTAAAGATCCAAACTATCTGTACTGAAATTACACCAACAAGAAAGCAGAGAAAGTTGTCAGAGCACAAAGTTGTCAGGGGCTTGAAAAGAGCTTTCATTTGACTGATGTGTTCCCATGGGAAAACTATTAAATACGTCTCAGGCCTAGCCAACCAAAAAGGAATTTTAGAGCCCAGATGTCAGGGAATTATCTCCACTCCAGAGAGACAGCCAGTAAGGTACCCAGCTATCTTTCCATCAAAGATGCC